TCTTCCTTTCCCTCTATCGGTTCAAAATTAGGGATGACAGTGTCTTCCTTTCCCTCTATTGGTTCAAAATTAGGGATGACAGTGTCTTCCTTTCCCTCCATCAGTTCAAAATTAGGGATGGCAGTGTCTTCCTTTCCCTCTATCAGTTCAGAATTGGGATGGCAGTGTCTTCTTTCCCTCTATCGGTTCAAAATTAGGGATGGCAGTGTCTTCCTTTCCCTCTATTGGTTCAAAATTAGGGATGGCAGTGTCTTCCTTTCCCTCTATCGGTTCAAAATTGGGGATGGCAATTGTCTCCTTTTCCCTCTATCGGTTCAAAATTACGGATGGCAATTGTCTCCCTTTCCCTCTATCAGTTCAAAATTACGGATGGCAATTGTCTCCCTTTCCCTCTATCAGTTCAAAATTACGGATGGCAATTGTCTCCCTTTCCATCTATCGGTTCAAAATTAGGGATGGCGAATGCAAGTAGCCCTTATGTAGCTTGTTGCAAATAACCAAAACAAAAAAACATTTTTACTAATCTTATATATTGAACTTTAATTTTTTTTAACACTGATATAATAGCATCAACATTTTTTCTAGCTATGTCTGAAGATTTATTTTCATTTTAATCTAGAAAATCCTATTTGCAAACACTGCAAGCCCAGAGAACCCGAGTTTTATCAAAACGAGGTATGTGTTGAGTTTCAGGTTTCTCTAAACATTATATGATAAACGTACGTTCGTAAGAATAACGTAACATAATATCATGTTTGGTAAACTAATATGTATTAAAAAAATAAAGGTTAATCTATTAAAATTATAACAAGATTCATGTGTGTAAAAGGTATTTGACCAGACTTTGAAATGGTTAACAACTGTTTTTATCTTGTATATTCATTTGAAAAATGTTTCAACTTTACCCAGCCACTTCAGTAAATTATCTGATTTTTCTAGACACATTTAAGCTGTTTTATTTTTCTAAAATACTTTAAATCTCTTAAGTTATTGTAACTGTTAATAAAAAGGTGGATTGCAAGAGAAATAAGTTTAATATATGTTGTCCATTACACAGAATTGGACTATTCTCTGATATACCAGCTCAAACAAAGTTAAAAAATGTGACTTTTAAAGTAATAAATATCCAAATTTCTGATACTCTTAATTGTAGTAAATGGAACTGACATGATTACCATATATGGGTGTTTACATAACCAGGATATTTTGGTCATTTTAGTTTTTATATTCTGTAATTAGTTAGATTAGTTCATGATTGATTAAGTGGGATATATCACTAAGACTGTCCTCTAATTAATACCGACCTGACATAAGCTGGTTGTTAGGGTGCTCGACTTGTAATCTGCGGGTAGCGGGTTTGAATCCCTGTCATCAAACATGCTTACCATTTCAGCTATGGGGCATTATAATGCAATGGTCAAACCCACTATTAGTTGTTTAAAAATGTAGCCCAAGAGTTGGTAGTGGGTGGTGTTGATTAGTTGCCTTCCTTCTAGTCTATCACTGCTAAATTAGTGATGGCTAGTGCAGATAGCCCTAGAGTAGCAATGCACAAAATTCAAACCAAACTAATTAATACCAGCAAATCAAATTGGCATAGAAAGTTATCACTTTTCTCTCACAAATTTAAAAGAATATTTATTTTATGTTCAAAATAATTAATTTGGGGGGGGGGGGCAAATTCTGAAACCTGGAGAAAAACGTTTTACTTTTTAAAGGAGTATCAAATTCCCAAACCTGGAGAAAAACGATTTACTTTTTAAAGGAATATCAAATTCCCAAACCTGGAGAAAAACGTTTTACTTTTTAAAGGAATATCAAATTCCCAAACCTGGAGAAAAATGTTTTACTTTTTAAAGGAATATCAAATTCCCAAACCTGGAGAAGAACGTTTTACTTTTTAAAGGAATATCAACTTCCCAAACCTGGAGAAGAACGTTTTACTTTTTAAAGGAATATCAACTTCCCAAACCTGGAGAAGAACGTTTTACTTTTT